AACCCCAAACCCTAAACCCTTAACCTGAAATCCTAACACCCAAGAAGCCTGAAGGAGCCGGCGCTGGCAAGCCGGGAGCCTCCCAAGAGGCTGGCTCCTAAGTGCGGGATCCTGTTCCTAAATGCTTTGGGGTCTATAGGGTTTAGGGATGGCTTACATAATCCCAACCAAATCAAAACAAAGCAACATTACTTATGTATAGATGTTTCAATCGACTTGCATAACTTTATTGTGAACTTTTGGGGCCTTTGCGGGTCTTAGAAGCCGCAAACCTCTGAGTACTTGGGAACCGTCGGGTGTGCGGCTTTGAAGGTTAGGGGTTTCGATGCGGGCGAGAACTTTTGCCTCTTTTTCGAAGTCCAGGGTTCAGCTTTTGTTTTCTCAGCTGCGGGATGCTGAGTACTTCCTGACTTTGTATCCTGACCCGATCTTAGGCCTTAGGCTTTAAATCTGTATTCGGAGCTTCAGCAGGCTAGCTTGGGGGGAAGCAGTTTGCGCTTGAAGTGCTCGGGTTTTTTAGGTTGTGTTGTGTTTTGCCTTGGGTGTTTAACACGGTGTTAGTTAGGGTTTTAGGTTTAGGGTCTGGCTCACTGTGAAGGCTTCATTGCTTAAGGGTTCGCGCTGATGGCGTCTACATTCTACATGTTTGGGCCTAGGCTTCCGGATGATGTTCACGGTGTTTTGGGAGTCCCCCTGGCTTCCTGAAAAGTGAAAGTATCCTGACCCCTGCCCTATAATGGCTTCTTCATTGAGATCAGCAATATAGGAGCCTTAATCATTACCTACACTATTGTGGGGGGTTCCTTATTATAATAATAGTAGAGGAGACCCCGAAACCCTTCACCCCAAAACCCTGTTCTAATCCCTAAACCCTAAACCCTAAACCGTGGCCCCTACATTTTTTAGGACCTACGCCCTGCCCTGGGTGCGCATCCGAGCCCTTTGGCCATCCGGGGGGCAGGAGTGAAACAGTGTCCTCCGCACCTGCTGCCGAACCGGAGGCAGGGACTAGGCAGATAGGATTTTCAGGTGTAGGGTTTAGGTGTTAGGATAGGATTCTGGGGTTTAGGTTGTAGGTGTTAGGATAGGATTCTGGAGTTTATGGCTTAGGTGTTAGCATAGGATGTTTAGGTTAAGGAATTAGGTGCTAGGAGTTTAAAGTTAGCTCGGCCCGTAGGTGCATAGGCCTAGGATATAGCCGTCGGGTTTCAGGAGGCGTTTGTAGAGGAGGTAGCTGGAGTTTTCGGGGCTTTTTCACCCCAATGTAAGACTTGGAAAAAAGCAACACGAGGAGTTACGCCCCTGCTCTACCTAAGCTCCAAACCCAGAGATTTACGGATCGGAGGTGTCGTTTTGTCAGCTGTCTGGCTTCTACAATAGACAAACCTCCAAACTAGCCCTGAGGGTATATACTTTGACCTTAAGGGTTCCTGCGTTGATATTCTGACGACCAAAGAATATACTATGAATGTACATGGACCTTACAATACCTTACAAAGTGTATGCAAATCACATAAGCCCCTGTAAGGCTCTGTAGGCACTACATGGACGCTTATAGCATACTATGTTCCTCTCAGGTGTTCTGGATAATTCCAGTGAAAGCTTAAAGGCAAAAGGAGCTAGGATTCCCGACATGGTCGCCGACAGTTTTTGTAGAGCGGACACGACAAAACCAAACCCTAAACCTGCTTGTGCGTTCTTCGGTGCCCACCCCAACTCTCCGGTATAGTTCCTTTATTTGGTCGAAGAGTCTGATGTCTAGGATCCGTGATTGAACAGGGAAACCAGGGGTAAGCGAGAAAGAGACACCAATGGAGGCTGTAGGGAGTCAGGCTAAACCCTAAACCGCAATAAATCCCAACAGGTTCGGCCCGTTCGATTCCGAGCAGCACGCCACTGACCTGAAGCTCTAGAATTAGAAGCCTGCCAAGTGGTATCCAAGTTCCTAATGATAATAGTGACAATACTACTGACAATCATAATGACTGTAATAGTAATACCACAAGTATTAGTAAAGAAAAAGAAGAATAATAGCAATACTAAGCTGACATAAGGTTCGGCAGCCTCAGGAAACCCTGAAGATAAAGATTCGCCTCCGATCTTCTGTTGTCCCAAATCCAAGCCCCCTCTGAAGCAAATCCTTAGAGGTACTACGCTTTTGGGTTACTAGGGTTCCCAATCAGAAACAGACAGTCTTTAAATTTTGTAAGGGTGCCAAGTTCAGTATCGAATCTAGTCGTGTTTACATGGACTCCGCGCATCGACGCGTTTGGCAGCAATCCAATCTTGTTCTTCAATTTGTCCCCAAGCCAAACTGTCATGTTTTTGTTTTGAGCTTTTCGTAGAAACTCTATACTCTAAACCCTTATCGTTTCGTATCCACCATTTTGATTCCGGCCCGAACAAACCCGCTTCAGGCGTCGAAGAGCCCGCAGAGTTTTCTGGGCTCAGAGGACGGAGCGAGAGCTTTCTTGCACGCGCGCGCGCATGTGTGTGTAGCGGGGGAAGGGCGCAGCAGTGACTTAGTGACTTTTCCTTAAACCCTATAAGCGCTGTGACGTTCGGTGATTTACAGATAAGGGTATTTACTACGGGTCCAAAACGATGAATGAGGCGTTAAGGATGTGTTGGCACCGGGGCACCGGCGCCTAGACGTTCCTAACTTGTGCGACTGGAGGTTTGGATATGTGTGTTTGACTTTTCAGGGTCTGTGTATACTTTTCTTGCAATAATCAGAAACCAAAGTTACAGAATCCGTTGAATCCATAACTGATCCTCAGTACACACAACACCCGAAGCTTAAACCCTGAAGCTAGTTGTGCCAAGGGCCTTGGGCAGGCTTGCATTCGGTAGGGTATACGGGCACCTCCTTGTTTAGGAAGTAATTTTGGGGCCCTAATACATATTAACAGGATCATGTACTCCAAAACCCTATTCTAGTTAAGGCCCCTACATTATTGAGCTGGAGCTGCGGAAATGAAGCAGGATTGTTGGAGGCATCGGGCATATCGAGGTGTTGGCAATGTGGCCAAATCTGATGGACAAAGTTCAACAAAGTGAACAAATCGCGATGTGTAGAAACGGTATACTAGCCAGCAGCAGATTCAAGTAGTCTTTACCCTCACCTAAACCCTAAACCCCGCGTTTCCAAAAGCTCCGACACTGCTTTCGAACGGAACTCCTGCAGGAACGTGGTGGTAATATAGGGGCGTTAATAATTAGAAAATGGTTTTGGGGCCCATTATACTATAGTTATAATAAGGAACCCGCCAAGAACGTAGGTTTCGGCGGCTTGGGAATTGGGAGTTGAGGAAGTCTAGCTCACGTTGCTAAGAGTCAAGAGACCCTCGTGCGCTTATTCATGGGCTTTCGATGTCTCACAAGCTGTAAACACTATAAACCCTAAACCCAGGAGGATTTCGCCAAGCGGCACGAAGCTGCTATGCGTTTCGTGGAGGCAGTCCGTTTATTATCGCTTTGTAGGTTTGCGGGTTTGGTCTTCAGGACTGTGGGGCTCTGGGTGTTTGGGATAGAACCCTAAACCCTAAACCCTAAACCCTAAACCCTAAACCCTAAACCCTATACCCTAAACCCTAAACCCTATACCCTATACCCTAGACCCTAAACCCTAAACCCTAAACCCTAAACCTTAGGACTGAAGAACTTCCGTTCAGGCCTTGGAGGCTTGAACCTAATGCAGTGGTCTGCGCAACGAGCACAAAGAATCTTCCCTGTAACCCTAAGGCTCCATGTACCCATATAGTAAGCCCTAAGCCCTTAGCCCAAACCCTAAACCCCGACCCCTAACCCCTAAGCCCTTGACCCTTAGCCTTTAGCCCTAAGCCCTATAAACCTTAAATCCGACCCCTAACCCCTAAACCCTAAGCCCTCAGCCCTTAGCCCTAAGCCCTATAAGCCCTAAACCCCTAAACGCCAACCCCTGAACCCTAAGCCCTAAACCCTAAGCCCTAAGCCCTATAAACCCTGAAGCCCGACCCCTAACCCCTAAGCCCTTAGCCTCCCGACCCCTTACCCCTCAACCCTAAGCCCTAAGCCCTATAAACCCTAAACCCCGACCCCTAACC